CTCCAGTGTGATGAGACGTACAGCTGGACATTCTTCTTTCTTTAGGCCAAAAAACTCCAAAATCCTCTGGTTGTCACTGTGGTCACTGTCTATGAAGATGAACAGGATCTTTGGAGGAAAAAGTCAGAGGTGTTATGGTGAAGACAAGTACCTCTTGGCTCTCAATACTCTACACATGTGCACAGGCAGCAGCTGAACCAGCCCCTCCTCCTCCAAACCCCCCAAATTCCACCCCCCAGAGCAGCACAGACCCAGCACCGGTGTGGGTTAAGGCAGAGTCAGGTTTACACCTGCAAGGAGGAAAGTCAGGAGTTAACTGCTGTTCCTTCAATGGTTGTGCAAGCCAGTGACTCAGTCACCAAGAGACACAGGTAGAGCAACAGCTTCAGGTGTGGGGCAGGTACAGCCAGAGCAGGAGGCAGCCACTTAACCCAGGAAATCCATCTCACCTTCCCTTTGAAGTTTCCAGCTGCATTCTTGAAGTTATCCAGTTTCTCTTGATAGTCAGACACACTTTTTGGAAGGAACAGCAGAATATGAGTCTTGATCTCTCCTCCAAAGATTTTAGGAGCGGTCTGAGGAATAGAAAATAAACTTTTATTTCTGGAAGAGGTAAATCTCTGTCAAGACCACAGGAGCCTCCACCACTACAGGACTGCCCAAGCAGCAAGCTCATGCCTCCTTCCCCTTGTGTTCTTCACACTCCACAACCCCAAACAAGTGTCAGCTCCAAGATAAAACACAAGCATCACAACCCACAATTTAAGTTTGTCATATTCATAGAGTAGCTATGGGAAAAGGCCTTACCAAGTACCCAAAGACCCACCTGTTCAGTGAACTCTATGACCAGAGGCAATGCGTTAGACTTGATGAAGTTCAGTAAATTATCCTTTGTGAGATCCCCTTCGAAGTTGTTACGGCCTTCATCAAACTGCAAAACCAGATATTCCTGCATTAGAACACCTCTGTATCCCATACAAATTACAAGAAATAAGATGCATCCACCCCAGAGTCACTGCCCCAGTGGACCTCAGCTGCACTTGTTCAAAGCAGACTTCCATCTCTCAAGGTCACCACACATTCACATAAGATCTGGGTCAGGGTGTTCATCTTCCTGGCAAAGCCTTAAATCACCCCCGGCAGCAAAAGGGGAGCAGCAACAAGAGTCAGCTTAGATCTTGGCATTGTTCCTCACAATCATGAAGCAATTTGTGAAACAGGTCACCAAGAAGGACTTTAACAGCTGCCTCACAGCGCTGTAGAAGGCGCTGCCAGAGCGGAGGCAGTTCCTGCTCTGCAGGAGGGAGCAGCTCAGCGCTCACGCACCCTCCAGCCAGGCGGGGCTGTGGACGGCCGGCAGAGCCCGTCCGCACAGGGAGTAACTGTTAATTCACCGGGCTGCGGGGGGTCAGCTGCTATTGTTGGAGACAGCAGCACATGTTTAACAGGCACATCGTGCTAGAGGTGCCAGGTCCCTTCCTAGATTAGGACATCACCTGTATCCCTGACCAGGATTCTCAGAACCACACTGGCAGCCTGCGAAGGGAACAGCTTGTAGAGGACCAAGGTTAGAGGCAGGATGTGCCCCCAGGGAGCAGCAGCCCCACAGCAGGGCAACGCTCGAGTTACTGGCAGAAGCAAGAGCAGGCTCGGATAACCTTCTGTTAGAGGAAGCATACCAGTCTCAGCTGAAGAGCTGAGCAAAACACATTCGAAATTAACTTTAAAGAGCATTGAACCTTGCCTTGGCACCTTCAGAGAGCTGTTTGAGGGTCATCACAAGTCTGGACAACTCACACAAAGAACAAGATGGGAATGACCAGCCAACAGACCCTCTCAGCATAGGCCCAGCTAACTGCAGGAGCCTGAGCTCAAGTCCAAAGCCGTAACTGTCAGTGAAATAAACCATCCGTTCTTGTGCCCTGGTATGTGGTTACCACTGGCACTCATTTTCACCTTGGCTTGGGGTGGACATGCTGGAGAGCTCACAGCAGAACTGTGACATTGCCTCCTGTCCCTCCTGGGCTGAGGCACCTCACCTCCTCCTCCTGCAGAGCCCTGGGGCAGCACCCAGCCCCACGGGGCCTCAGGAACTGCCCGTCAGGCCAACACACCCCACAGACTGCTGGGTGCAGAACTGCTTCTCACTCCAGGTGTACCCAAGTTGACTACACTTACAAAAACAGCTGGCAAAAATCCCTTTAGTGTTAAAGACTGGTCCTGCCATTGCCTCAGTTCTTCACAAGTGGAGAAGCCTATAACAGAGCTCATGGGACTCAAGGGTTAGAGGACAGATGAAATCAACACGAGCCCATTCTACAGAGCACTACACATGAGAAAAACAGATAATCAGTGAAACCCAAGGCAGTAACTCGTCCATGCTGAAGCACCAGCTGTAACCTGGCCACTTCAGAGCCATCTCGTCTGTCACCCTGAGCCAGGTGACAGTAACTCCCCACAGCCCTAGAGATGTCACTTGTAGAGCAGCATTTCTATATGGACCTCAGCATTTGCCAAAGGGCACGAGCAGAGGTTGAGGAAACCCCTGCAACAGTTATTTCAGGCTGGCAGTCCCATGAGCAGAGCAGGAACAAAGCTAGACAGGAGAGAGGAGCGAGATACAGGCAGTAAGTCAGCCAAGAACAAAGTACTGCTCCCTCCACTCACCCCAACTTTTCAGTTGCATGACCTTGGTGTTTTGAACTCGTTAGCCAAATCATTTACTTGCACCCTCAGCCACAGTGATCCGAGATACCTCTGGCTGAGCATTTAAGTCTACAAGCTTCTAGCACCATAAAAGCCCCTACAATTTCAGAGGTGTAGTGGAACAAAATATGCTTTTTAGCTGAACAAAGAATGAAATAAGAATTCATTCATGTCTTTGGCCTGTCTTACATCAAACTGGTCAGACCAATGACTAAGTTACAAATTTAATAAATCTGAATCCAAAGCAGCTTTCTGTCCTGCCTCACCACACCCATGCATACAGTACCACCAAGTCTCAGAAACCTCTCCTTGTATTCTCAAACCAAAAATTTAATCCCGGTGACCTGGATTTTAATGGTAAAAAGCACCATTAAGTTCATTTCTGATTCTGCAGATGGCCAGCAACACTCTGCACATCATCCAACTGCCCCAGCCTGGTCAGCTGGAACTGCAAATCCTTTTAGGAGCTTCACCAGAACCACCGCACTGCAGAACCCACAGCAGTGAGAGACAGAACAACTCCTGGACAACCCACTGCAGCAGACACCAATGCTGACTATCTTTAAAAACAACTTTGCTAAGCCACAATCAAACAGAGATCACAGCAAGCCAGCAAGAACTTGACCACTGTTTAAGACCCTCAGGGGGGCCACAGGAGCCCTCACTAATTACAGCCAGGAATCTGTTAAGGATTGTGCTGACAGTTACTGCATTGCAGCCAGACACCTGAGACAGTGAAGTGAGTGAAGCAGCAGCTTGGACCCAAAGCCCAGCAGCTCCAGGGGGGCAGCACCACACCGGGAGACCAGTGAGGTCTCCTCTGCTCCCAGCTGTGCCCCACAGAGGGACCCGGGGCTCTGCCACCCTGCAAAGCAGCTGCAGGGTCTGATCTACCCCCAGCCTCTGAGGCTTGGGAAGAGCCATCCCAGCAGCACAGGATCTGCTGTTTCATCCAGGGCTGCCCACGCTTGGATGGGACCAAATTAGAGAAAAAAAGAAGAGAGGCAGACGACTCAGGTGCGGTGCTCAGGCATTCACCAACCAGTACCTTCTTGAAGAGAACCACGCCATCCTTGCTGAGCTGGTACTTGGTGAAGACATCAGCACTGGAGGAAATCCCAAAAGGAATGTCATCCACAGCTTCTGCTGCCAGCAGGAACTCCTTCGCAGCCTCTGACGTCGAGTCCTGGACAAGAAAGAAAGGTGTCTCCCATGGGGCACAGAGTGCAGCACACACATCCCAGGGCTTACCAGCCAGAGAACCGGACGATCAAGTACGGCAGGACAGCGCGTTTCCCAACGCGGGGAGAGCCTCCCCCAGCTGCCAGAAAGCAGGGAGGGCCCCGGACATACACAAGAGATTCAGCACAAACCCTACCTTAAAGAAACCAATCACAACCACTTCACTGGAATCCACTAACGTCTCCGCTGCGGCAGCGTCCGACAGGGTAGTTGCAGCGGGGCCGGTGCGTTTCTTCAGCCAGCTGACAATATCATCTGCCTCTCTGCCAGCTGTGCCGGGAGGAGAAGAACACTGATTCACTTTGCTCCCTCAACTAAGTTTAAGAACTCAGAATCCCTAAGCTTTGAGATAGACTTTCAGCAGGTGTCCAAAGAGGTCAGGAAGAACCAAGACACTGTTTACGTAACTTTTCCTTTCACTCCCAGGGTAATTAAGCTAATCCCTAATTGTTAAGTCAAGGTACAAGGGGCTCCCAGGAATCCACTCTTCTCTTGCTTCCAGCCTAAGCACATTCATAAACTTTGACCAGCAATGCAGCACTTCTCCCAGATGGCTAATATTTTTTATGCAAATATACCATATTTTCCTTTCAAAAATCAACATCCTGGATGTCAGCCCCAGCATCCAGCACAGCGTGGCTTGGTTTAACTGAATTCTGCTTACCTTGGTCATCCTTGCACCTCTGTCTTGCACCTTGTGTTCGCCCCTTTACCCGCCCACCCAAGCATTTTTCAGTTCTGGGTGCTACACTCCTCAAGTCAAGCAGAGCAACAAATCAAACCCAGATCGCTTCACTTTCCTACGCAAGAAAACTCCATCTGCTGTAGCTCACGCGAGGGATTCCCCCAGCTTTAGGCAAAAAAGCCTGTTAAAGGCAGGCTTGTTCCTCACACACCCCCAGGACATGCCCGCTGCGGTGCCGCTCCCCGGGACACCGTCACCGTGGACCTTGTCCAGCCGCAGCACCGGTGCGGGGCTGGGGGCAAGGAC